GTGTGTGTGTGTGTGTGTGTGTGTGTGTGTGTGTGTGAGGGGTGGAGGGTTAACTGATTTAATAAGAACCAACAGAACTGAAATAAAAAGTTTATTACTGCAGCAATTACAATCTTTTATATGAGGATCAGCAAAATTGGATTTTGAGATCAGGGGTTGTTCATCTGATTTCAGCTTTCATAAAGAAAAGACAGAGTCTTTACAAGGCCCACGAGGCATATAATCACCTGGAATGAAGATGACTAATATGCAAAGCTATGGACAGGGCCAAACAGGATTTTTTTTCTTGACAACCATCAGTGAGGCTAAAAACATCCACTGCGGTCTCAGAGGCCTGATATGCTGACCTTAAGTGAATTCCCATGAAATAGATTTAGGGCCTGTACTTCATTAAGCTGCTTAATTTAGCTGTTTTGGTTGTCTAACAATACTGTGATAATAGACCAATGCATTATATATACAGTACATACAACATTAGTATGTACTCATACTTAGTCCCATAAGCTCACAAGACAAAAACTCACAAGACACAAGTTCTCAAACGCTTAAATAAAAGCAAGACAAAAGTTAAAAAATTATACAACTTTTATTAGCTGCACATTGCATCACAGAAATAAGGCTTCGTGATGTAGCTTGCACTTTGAAATTGTCTGCCCTTTATTAGGTGAGGTACCAGAGGTGAACAGCTCAAAGAAACTCACTTGTTAACATAGTATCTTCTCAAGCTTACTCAAGTTAATAAAATTTTGGTTCAAAAATAATACAGTGCTACTTTTTTCATTGAGGCTGTGAGCTTTTGTCCACACACCTCTTACGTTATACTGGGTCTACTCCATATAAATCTATGTGATCTATAAGAATCACAAACTGACTGGAGGTTCATTTCAGTCCAAGGACCAACAGTTGCTGTCTGTATCTGAAGTCCAGATGAAACAGGAGAAAAAGTAGTTTCAGTTTGGTTCTTTGATGAACTAGAATCAAATTAAATTCAGTCTGAAAACGTAGGAAATGGTTTCACTAAACCGATTTAAATATATAAGATTTAAAGGGTCATCTGTACATGACCAAACATACTCTGGTCATGTACAGATGCGCCGTACTTTAGGAAGATATTTGTTAGTTTATTTCATTTAAATGTTGCTTTTTATATGTATTAAATTTGTTTTATTGAATCATTTATCTGACACAAATACGTATTTGTGGTCACTAAGGAAAACGTTTGTGGTAATTTATAAAATTTTGTGCTTTGTTACCACAAATCCCAAAAGGTTAGGTTTGTTCTGGGAAAAAAGAGACAGTACAGGTTTACAATGACCCCACTCATCCACTGCAATCATTTTTCAAACTGCTGCCATCTGGCAGAAGACTGATGGTTTCTCTAACAAAGAAAAATGGATACAAAAGTCATTTGTTCCCTCCGCTGTGACCGTGCTTAATAGGGTCTTGTTTAAACATAGACTCACTAGACAAACCATTGTCTATTGAGGTGTCTTTGTTCACTTTATCATGTATTTTAGAATGTTTTAATTGGTTTTCATGTATTCTGGTCATCTATAAAAGGTTTAATGGTCTTTTTAATTTGTTTACTGTTGTATGTATGAGACAGATGTCAAATTCAAGTCTCCATTTCATGGATGACATTTTTGTCTGAATGAGTTTCTCCAGGTGAATTAAAGGAAATAATAAACACAATGACACGGATATAGTGCAATGCCAACAAGACCCACTGTGCATAAATAAGAGATTAAAGTCCAGTTTAACTGCCAATGTCAATGAAAAAACAGCAAATGTTAGTTTATTTTAAGTTATGTCATACAGATTTTTGACAACTGCCAATCATTAACGAAGGCATTCAAGAATTCGCTCTACTCCAGTGCCTTTGTGTAAAAACAACAGTCATGCTAACTTTATTGTTATCACGACTTAACTGAATTCACACCATTGTTGTTACTGCAAATAAATAAATAAATAAATAAATAAATAAATAAATAAATAAATAAAAACAAAATAATAAATTTT